CCTTTTTCACTTGAATTATAGGCAGCCTCGAACAGCCCATCCAACCCTTTCCTCCCTTCTTCCCCAGCAGATCTTTCAGGTTTTTAGATTTCCTTTGATCTCAGGGTTAGCCTTAGGAAGACTATCCGCTTCCACGCTGAATTGAGTCAGCAATTGATACCTTAATTCCTTTGAAGAAACAGACCTAGAAGCCAATTCATCTGTAACATTTCATGCTTGGTTTCTAAATACATCTCCATAATCTGCCTTTACCTACAAGCATTCTTCTCAGGCAGGTATCAACACTGCAATTCAATGGGGAGAGTCACTACTTCACACTAAAAGAGTTCACTGGAATATTGAATCTCTTCAGCATAATGAGTTCTCAGCTACCACAGAGATTTCTCAGAATCAGCAGTTTGAATTATTGCTTAACACACTTTTTCCATACTGGCAATTTCACATGAACTAAATTTCAAGACCCTTTAAGCATGGTCTGCTAAGCTTAAGGATGGATGAATTTTGAATGTTAGATAATTACTCTTTTTATRAGATATTTTATCTAAATGCTTTAGCTGTAAAATAACACCCCAAACCCCTGAACAGATTTCCTACATCTATGAGACATAAGCAACGACAGCATTTTGCTGATTTGAAAGGATCTAATGAGAGAAATTATTTTTGTTTGGAAAATAAATTATCTATGTTATTCCTCTCTGGATAGTTCAGTCTTGCTTTTTAGTAAAATCTCATAATTAGCAGTGAAATACTCCATTTCCAGAAATTCGATTCTTCAGTGTTGTTGCCCAAAAACAACACCGAGARTTAAGCTTAAAATGACCAGATTCAATATTTAATGCTAGACTTGCCAATGAACCCATTAACTCTCACAGTAAAACAAAGTGATGCCATCACAGAGAGGCACTCAGATATGAAATGCATAAAAACCAGTTATTCGTATGTACCACACCAGACAAACATCCCTAAATTTAAGTGACATTATAAAGGTAAGCAGCACATGTAAACTCATTTTCCTTATGTTTCCTTATGAAACTATGTAAATGAACATAGGTTCTTTTTAAAAACACTGGTATAATAAGTTTAATTTATGCAGGGGAACGAGGAACAGCTCTGGTGCTGACAGTCACTTCTGTGYCTATTAACTATTCATAAAACACTCAATAGCATTGAAAGAGCCTTTGAAGGAACAGTAAAGGCTTGGCAAAGCTTTCATCATATTAAATATAAAACGTGAAAGTTCATGTTTACAGCTACCACTACTCATTAGTCAGACACTGAGTTTTTCATACTGAAAGCAGCAGCCACCCCAAGTCACAAAACAGAGATTTTTTTTTTCTTTGTCCTTATCCAACAGGCACATGGATCCCACCTTTCAGAAGAACTAAAATGGATTTACAGCTTGCATTAAAACCAAAACTTTGTGTGAATTAAAATTGAAATAATCTGAAACTACCAAGCTATGGATTTATTAATGGTTTGAAGTGTTACTGACAGAAGTCAGGTATTGTRATTTCATTGAACAAGTTTCTTCAAAACCAGATTCTGCAAGTTTACACCACACCAGTCTTCAGTTTCTCCTTTTGCTTTTATTCAAGTAAAATCCTGTGCAAAATGATTTTACCATATAGCCAAATCTTCCATGAACTTATGAACTGGAAGTAATTTTAGAGATTTAATCCTTAGAAGCCAAGTTTAATGATGGAAGAAAATACACGGTCATTTATAAACAATAGCAGGGATTTTAATTCCCTCTCACAGATAAGCGGCATTAAGTACCAGATGTTTCAGAAGACAAAGGCCTCATCCTGCTCCTATGGAATTTGTAATAGCTTATGTGCAGGAGAATCAAACAGCAGTGTTAATAGTCAAGGATAACCCAAATCACCCAGTTTSTCAAAACCCTTGGGCTGATGAACAAGTAAAACTCCAGTTCTGAAGGTGCTGGAAGCTTATTTTCTGGTAAAATTTAATGCTGGCTGGGAGAAACTGCTYATTGAACAAGTCTCAAAAAGGTTAATGGAGATTTTTAGAGATTATAACTTCTGAAAATGGCAACTAATACAATTTCATCTGGACTCACACGGGAATGCTCATATTTGGCATTTTTTTACATTGCTTAAATTCTTCTTAACAAGTTCACAGCTTCATTTCGAATTCTTAAGCTGCAGATACTAAGAAACCAAAGAGCAAGCTGGAATTAAAAAAAACATGTAATATATATTTGGCTTGTATTTGTTGCTAAGCTACTAAAGCCCAGTTATGACTATGAGGCTGTTACAGATTTGTAGCTGCATTTCTGACACAGCAATGTAACATCAATTATAGCAACAAAGACAACAATCAAAGTCAGAAACCAGAACTTATTTCAGTAGGGGTGCAGTAACTCAGGCGCTTCAGCACCTTTCCAATTCACAATTTCCATTGATTCAAGCAGCTTTCACTGATGCTTTCACTTCTCTTGTTAAGATTTCAGAACTCCAGGAAATTCAAACACAGTGAGTTCAACCACCACTGAACTGGAAAGGGACCATCCAAGTGACCATCTCCTTCAGYTGATAAAATCTTGTGGGTTACAGAACAAGTAGGACAGGTTGGTCATCTGTCAAATCATAACTACACCAGGGTACTCCAACTGCAAGTCAAATACTTGCATGCAGAAAGTGTGTAACACCCTATTAATGTGCCTAAGGTTTTTATGGTGGTGTCTGATAAGAATCTCAGATTAGTTCAGTGATCAAAGTTTTTTGATGCACAGAAAAGTACAAACACACACTTTAATGTTTAATTGTTAATATTCAACACACTTTGTGAAGAATCATCTTTTTTTGGATACCCAAAAGGCTTCTTGTTCTACAGTGTATTATAAGCAAAACTGGTTGAGTCACCACACTTCCCCAGGTGCCAATTCTCAAATATAGTTTCTCAAGCCAATTTAATCTCACAGAAACTGATCTTTGCTTTTWCCAGAACAAGAAGCAAAGGGAATATTACAGCAGTTCGACAGCTATATTGCAACCCCCTCCAGTGAGGAATAAATATAGCTCATGCTGAGGCAGACAGATGTTGAGGTTGATAAAGGTAAACAGAACCATGTAAGAGGTAATTAACAAAGAGGCCAGATAAGTCACCCGTGAATAACTTAACCCTTCAGTGAATCCAACATTGTTTTTAGCCCTGCTGAGGGCACAGGAGCCAAGCAGAAATATTTCAATTAGCTCCAAAGCACTCCCATTTGCAACTGCTACCTCAATTTCTTATTTGTGGCAGGGAACATCATGGCTGCATCCCCACAGAATCTGGCATCACTTYGTCGATTTGCAGCTTTTCTAGAAGAGCCCTCTTCTTCCCCTCCCCCAAATCCCAGTGTTATTTTGATCACTGGGGTTAGGGAAGGAAGGGAAGAGATATTTCTCAATTATCTGGAGGAAACAGCTAGAAAAGCTCACAAAAGAAAAGTAAACTGGAAGACCAGTCAGTCATTAAGAGGATGGTTTATTTATACTGTCTGACCTTACCCTATGGTAAGGTAAAGTCAGCTTAGCCACCCATACATTTTAATCATCCAAGTGCCAGCACAAACAAAGCAAACAAAAATGTACAGGTCACTTACAAAACCTGGGATCTTCTCCATGCAAAGCAGGATTCAAGTTTTTGACTTTATGGCAGGCAATTACTGAAACAATGCTGCCAAGTACAAGGGACTGAAGTCTTTAAACCTCAACTTAGCGAAAAGACAAAACCTCAAGACRAGTCATGAACATTACAAACATTCCTAGATGAAGCTGCATGTGTTTTATTTAGCAAGTCAGGTTGATCAGAAAATCTTTTTTGGAGCTTTTTAGAATTTGTTTTAACTATGCAAACAATAGACCTGTGAAGGYCATCTGATAAACTTTGAAACTTAAAATTTTCATGAAAACATGGAGGCTTAATTCATCAGCATCTCCCAWRGCACTAACTGCACTGATTATTCACTCCATTCATTCAAAATAAACCAACTAGCAATTTCATATGCAGGAAGACTCCATGAAAGGATCTGTACATTACATGCCCACAAGTGGAATCTAAAATGCATTTTTCGCACATCTAAAAACCCATATGTTTTATTCAAGATGCTAACATGGAAATTTTTAAGTATTGTTGTAAATAGTATTAACTGAAYATTATTTTTTAGTTGGTTGAGTCCTYCTGTTTGGCCACAGATGAGGAAGCTGTAAKGCACACCTGCACAGGTAAGCCAAAGCAAATATAAACAATATATAGACAATTATACAGTGTACATACATGGTTGGTTTATTCCCCACTCATTTCCATTYAGTGTTGTGTAATATTTTCTGATATCTGATTGACAACACAAATTTCTGTATTTGACAAAGGTAATACCAGATACTCTTACAACTATGAACAATTTATTTGAAACCTAATGACAATGCTCACCATAAAATTTAACACTGACTACCCTTATTCTAAACTCCATCACTCCTCCCATTATCATCTAAGGCTATTGGTAGCATGGTTTATTTGTGTGTATTCATGTGCTATAAATTGCAGATTAATCACACAAAATAAGACTTCCTAGTGGTTTGAAATAAATGCAATAGTTCACTGGAAAAACCAATTTATTTAAGTGTTTATTCTAAAGTTCTGTAACCTGAAACATTTCTCCATAAATTTATAAAATGCTTCACTGCAATACTTTATAGCCTAATATTGTTTAGTTTCTAGGACACTTACCTTATAGTACAGAATTTTAGAATTAAATCAAGTCACATCTTTCAYAGAGGGAAGCAATATTAGACAGAAGATGAATGCATATAGAAATCCTTCCACTTAAACATGATCACACATTTGAATCTGGCACAGACAGTAAGGAAAAAAAAACCAAATCCTTTTTACCTTGGGTACTTTTAGTTGGCAGATGCATCTTCCCTCTTTGGCTCACTTCAATCAWTGCAAAAATATATAGAAAGCTCTGACTCACAGAAATGAGAATTACTTACCAATTTGTAACAATACAGGTGTTACCAAAGCTGTCTCCATGGCATAACAGAACTCCCTGCCAAACATAACTGCACCATGCATCACCCACAGGCGTATCGGTATCCGGTCTATGGATCCTTCACTAATGGTCTCCTCCCTACTTTCATTCTCCTTGTTTTCTGGTTTCTGCAGCTGTGCCACAGGTAGATCTTGAACTTGCATAGATTCCGAGTCAGCATTCTGAGGAGCCATTTTCATTACCATAAAAATATATATATTTTGTTATATTTRTATAAATAATACTACCATAACTCCAAGAACAAGTTAGGGTGTCTTCTCTTTCAGCTTCTGTTCCTCAGGCAAGTAATGCTTATATTCCTCTTGTACAAACTGGTATCTTGCAACTTCTTGTACAGATACGAGACATTAAGAATGAAAAGCTATTTGGTAGGGATTTCAACATATGGCTTGCTGGTTTACTGTGAGTTAGAGTTAAAAATCCATAATTGCCATTCAGTTAATACCAGTTTCATAATTATTATTGAAGAAGTGCTGAAGTTGTTATTCGTGCTACAGAGAGGTGGAAAGGCGACACAAAGAGGTGCTCCACTGTTAATCCCCATCGAGTGGCTGATTAATCTGCAACAAAAAGCAAGCATTTAAAAATTTCAATAGGATTTTTCAGGATATTGTGTCCCCCCCCCTTAACCATATAACCTATTTCCTGCTTCATGATTTCCATTGTCCTTGCCTAGCATAGGGTCCTTTATTCTACATTCCCTCCTACCTCTGCACTTTCCATTGAAATGTAGTTATGCCTTGTATGTAAATGATGCTTTACTGTACTTCAGTTCCTCTGGTTTGTGGTCYTACACAAAGCCACAGAAGAATATCAGGGCACAGGTTCAAGATCCTCAGAACACCAAGCACAAGAGTAAAATTCTGGGAAATTTAAAGCGTGTTGCATTTCAGAAACAGCATAGGATACTCCAGTTCTATGCCYGGAAGATGATTCATCAATTACCTTGGTCACACAGACATCTCCATTTAGACTTTTGGAAACTGCAAGTTAATTTGCAGTAACTATCACACCATTTTATACTGAAGACATTTCTCAAGCAATCATGAACAAAATAAGCCATGACAAATATAACTAAGGATTTATATTTAAAGTTTAATGAAGATACACACAGCATATGAATTCATCTTCTTTCTGCACACAAGACCAGAACATTTTACTCCCACATCCTCTGAGGCTGCTGAAATTTGTGAAAGCGGAATGGTACAATATCATCCACGTTAAAGTTATTAGAATATATTCTAACCAGGTAAGACAAGCTTCTTCTGTATTTTCCCCTCTTTTGTGCCATAGAGAAAGTCTAAGCAGATGTACAAATACTGCACCATGCCAATCAAAATGTGTTAAAGCACTTAGGAGAAGAAAACAAAGCATTTTACAAAAAGTCAGGTTACATAATGTTTGCATTAGAAGCATTTTTACATCAAAAAGGGTATTTACTAGACAGATATTTACATCTCTGCACACAGGGTGACTGAGCTGTGACCCAGGACAAAATCCCTCAGGGATATGGTTCCATGAAATGCTGGCTCYGGCAGCAAAGCTGACCTCAGTAGAAGTCCCCATGCTGCAATTCTCTGTCCCTTCAGTTGTGGCAACAAAAACTCTTTGTGGGCTTGAGCACACAMCAGATCATTAAGTGGTGAGCCTAAAACTGAGCCTTAGGAAACAGATGACATGTTTAGTGTTTAAAGTGCATCACAAGGGCAGCTCTGTTCCACTGTGACCTGAGACCTGTTCTACTAAAAGTGCATTGTGAGAACACCATCTTGAGCACTCCCTCCTGCTGAYACCCTTCTACGAGCTGTTTATAGAATATATTGTGTTCATCCATTCAAAAGCACCTGTTTTGTTCCAGGCTTCTACTTCTTCCCAAGATTACTGGAATTCTCATATTTGATCAMCTCAACAACAAACTAATACTTAAAATTTATTTCGACCTGGACAAACCTTTAAATCCCATGAGGAAGTTAAAATAATTTACTGAGCTAGCTCTATAAACCAAGTTTTTAAGTTCAAGTTATTTTCTGTAAGCATTAAATACCTCAGAACAAAAAGGACTTGAGAAAGCAATYCTCTACCTGCTCAGAATTAACAGAAATTAAGATGTAAGTAGTTTATCATAAATATAAAGTACTCTGTGCATTAAAAAAACACATCCACTTTACATAATACAAGTTCTGAATGAGTAAAGCCTACAAAATACATGTTCTGGAGTAGGAGCAATTATTTTAATTACAGACTAGTCATAAAATGTTTAACTGCTGGCAGACTCAGGCAAAATGATATTCAAGAATTTTGTAGTATACATGTTAGCTCTTATTATTCAAAAAATCACCAGAACATTTATGTTGGATTACAGATTAAGGGTGATGGATTACTTTYATGTACAGTCTGGCTTTAAAGTCTCTACTGTATTCTTGTGCCTAATTTCCCCTCCTGTGAAGGATTTAATTCCCTTTCACTAAACACCTCTYTCAATATGCAGTTCCAGAGTGAGGCACTGAGAGGAAGGCAGTTTAYCACTCCAGAATATTCTGCGTTGCATTGGGGCAGCCTGCACATGGCAATGATACCAAGCCGGGAGTATTTGTCCTGGGAAAAAGATAAAGAGGCAGGACAAAAAAGGACATCTGAGATTTAGCCCATTTGAGCAAGGCTCCTAAGAGATGACTGAAAAAGTTATTTTTGAAGTGGAAGATGATGRGGAGTGATCAGATAATTTAAGAGCCAGGAATAATGGGTGGTAGATGGAGGTACACTTTGAAGCTGTAATTGACACAGATAAGAACAGCATATTTTAAACATGCCAGAAAAAGCAGTTACAGTGTTCAAGTGCAATAGCAAGACGCACAATGGACAGGTTTTATCTAAAAGAACAGAGAATTACTGTTCCATTATGTCAATTTTGTGGTAAGCACAACGCTAGACTTCCTGCAGCACTTTCATCTGACTCCAAGYGAATGTCTAATGCAAGAGCCAGAGAATAACAAGAGCCTCTCAGAAAGGTCTTCAGTTCTTTCCTAAGCCCTGCTCAGTTGTGTTCATATTCACTTAAGACTGATATATATTCTGCTACTGCTTCTTCCAAGTTCATTTTGAATTTGGCAAGTTTGAATAGTGGCATTCTTTCTTTATCAAAGAAGGAGACAAATTCATTTACCTGATGGAAGTAAATATAACAGAGGCTTTTATGCAGCAAAGAATGCACCTGAAGAGAAGCTGGATTAAAATACCAATGAAGGATCCTCTGATGTCTGCATCCAGCACAAATTGTTTTTCATGGCTGGTTTTCAAGGGCATTTTCATAACTAACAACAAATAAGGCAGTAGAATGAAGAATTTCATGGGAAGAAATTCATGTTGCACACAGGGCATTGTACACAGGATGGGTGTGMAGAGAACTTCAGATACAGAAATATTTCTGATCTTGCCAAGTGTTTATGGGAGGAGGTGACCGATGATGCTGGCTCTTCTTCAGCTTAATTGCACATGTCTTACTTTGACCTTTGACCACATTGTAGCAATGAGAAAAAACTATAAAGCAATAGTTAATATTTCAATGAAACAGGCAAGCAATATATTCCAAAAACTAATCCGTAAGCAGAATTTTATAAAGCTGCTCAAATTGCTTGAAATCTYGTCTGTGATACTTTGACTACCTACCTTCCACTGACGCATAAATGACTGTGTCAAACACAAAACATGTTATAGGCTTGACAAGTCAATGATCCTGTGCTTCAAATAGGTACTACTCACAGACAGAACTTGTGAACCATCAAAGAACCAAAGCAAAATCACTGCCTTTTCTCAGGGTTTGCCAAAGGAGAGGAAGTGTTATACAGGTCATATCTGTAGCCCACGAAATTCCGTGGTTTTCTTTTCCCTAGTGAGCACTATGATGTTAAGATGCAAAAAGAGCTCACGCTACACAATTATACAACACGATGCCTCGGGCAAATGACTTCTATCACACATCTCAGTCTGTTTTGCAAGTTCAAGACTTGGGGGTTTGACAAGCAGTGTTCCTGCATTTGTGATACCACCATCTGGAGGTCCACAGACTGGTAGTACAYCCATCAAACAAAATAAATGAGGTTAACAGTGATCCTGCCYAAACGTTTTAAGACTGAACTATTTKWGATGCATGTTTCCAGATCTCTCTTGCTAACAAGGAATAGGAATGCACTGTTTGACAAGTAACTAGAATTTCTGAACCCGTGCCAAAGCATATGACTGTACACTGTGGAGTACACAGCACGTTTCAGGTAATCACACACGTATTTTTTGAGCTATAATAAATCTTGGCAAGTAGGAAAACAGTTAAATGGGCCCAACTGGATACCATGAGAAGATTTCAAATCTTTTGGAGGGTTTTTGTCCTTTAAAGCCATTGGGCATTCCCTCAGGCATTTACTGGTGAAAGAAACAATCTCAGAAGAGTTGGTATGCACTAGTTATAAAAACACAAGACAACAYAAAAAATAAGCACAGCCTATGAAAAACTAGAATGAGCAAACTGAAAACAATGGAAATAGCTCTGTCCAAGCACTATCGAGTATCTAAGGAAAAAAGGAAGGGATTAAACAGAGGCAAACTACCCCTTATCTCATCCTTTTCTTTAAAGTTTATTGCATTAACTTCTAGTCATTTATGTAGTTATCTCCTCTCTTCAAGATCTGCCTCTTACATTATCATGACTTTCCTTATATGCAAGGATACAGACTGATCAAAGTTGTCTCAAATCATGAAGAGCTGCATTCAGTTTTGCTCACAAGAATTATTTTCTAGTAATGTAGGAAATACTCTTAATTCAAAGATTCTATGRTTTAAATGAACTTTACCTTCTTGATGCTGAAAGGAAAGATGAAGAGACACTTGGAGCCATTATTGCATACATCTTTTCACTGTTTACCACTACCTTTATAAGGTAAAATAGCTATAAATCAATTAATAATGATTCTGGTCACCATTATCATCATATTAGCATGTGTCAGTAATCCATTCTGCTCAACACATAAAAAAAAAAACCCAAACAATAAAAAACCCAAGTAAGTGTATTCAAATGTTTACTTGGAAGGAAAGTGGAAGACTTTAAAAGCTGCCAGCCTTATAGGATAAGGTTTTTGTTCCTCCCAGAGACTTACAACTTACCCTCCCTCAATGCTTCAATGAGTGCATCCCACAGAATCCATGCTAGCCACCACGCCATTCACCTGTGAAYCATGTCAGGCTGACAAGCCTCTAAGTGCCCACCCATTCCATTTATTTGTCAAATACTTTTCTGCCAAGTTGGTTTATACTCCAGTTTTCAAGTAATCTGGCCATATCTTKAAAAGTTATCTAGACTGATTTAAGTTTAGCTTTAATATTAGCATTAGAAAAGAAAGGCATTCTGAGTTTATCTGTCTTTTCCTCAGGCTAAATAAATGTTTGGCTGAGCACTTCTACTGCCAAGTTGCAGACAACATCACTTATTATTCCTTCCACAATTCAATGCAAGATGGACAGGGAGTTCTGCTTCAGCATCTCGCTGACTTGTAAAAGGACACATCGTTTG